AAGAGCGGTGGGTGACTCGGAGAGCAAAACCTGGAACTTCGGGAGTTTCAGTTTGCCTTGAAGAAGATTTTTTGGGGTTTTAGTGGTTTGGGTTGTTTTACTCCGAATTGCACCAGAGGCTGAGCGTTCAGCGCAGCCACCACCCCATCGCTGACTTAAACTCCTCTATTTATAAAGGGTGAGGAAAACAAAGTGCTTAAAATATCATCAGCTAAACCTAAAGCCTCAGTGACCGCTGCAGCTGCAGCCTCGTGTTGCCGCAATGTGCCATGAAATGCTGGGGGTAGCTACAAGCAGCAGCGACTGAAACCCAGGACGGGCTTTAACAACTGCAGCGCGGTTCCAGTTAAAGCTGCCTGTAGGGAGCTGGAGGCACAGCACAGGCTGGGGGGGTTTGCTCCATAAACCAGGGACAGGAGCTTCATTCCATCTAGCGCTGACTTGTGAATGAGCCCCACAGGTCTCAGCTCAGAGAAACAAATACCTCGATGACAACCACCACCCCTGAAGTCACCACGCAGCTGGTGTGGGTCTGGTTTTGCTTCCTGACCAGAACTGCCCCCCTCTCCCCACCAGGAACCAAAGCCGGGGCCGGGCCGGGCAACATGAGCCTCCACCAACAAAATACCCCAAAGCTGGTAAAAATTCCCATTTCTACAAGTAGTGACACTGCAACAGCAGGATCCACCTTGCTGGGGCTGAAGGAGTGTTTATAGAGGAGGGTTGATGTGGCAGCTTCAAGCTGAAGCATCACTTCCTGATTCATCCCCAAAGTGACTCCTTTAACCCAGTGAGTTTTCAGCCCCCATCCCTGTCTGCTGCTGTTCCCCTGAGGCGAATGGTCATGTTCCAATGAAAACACAAATCTTTCTTACACAAACACATACTTCACGAGGCACTTGTCCCACTCTGCCTCTGCTCGAGCCCCTTCATTCCCCCAAAGAGTCAAACCACCCTGTAGTGTGACGCCCTCGGCTAGAGCTACCGCAGGTTCTGAGCAGGAGTTGTTGTCACGGAGGTCACTCCTGTGTAAATAAACACCAGCAGTTCTGCAGCAACGTGAGTATAAGTTTAAGGGTTTTATTATCAAAGTTCTGTAAAACAATTTCAGAAACTGTACATGGACATGGCACAGACTGTAGCCTACTTCTGCCTTCTGACCTGCACAAAAGTAAAAGCTCTTGAACTTCTGTAACTAAAGAAACAGCTTTGCCTAACTACTCTGCGGATAACATGGAATCACTGTGTGCATAAGAGTACTACTGCAGTGACAGTAAACACAAAGGTATTAGTTTATACAACTTGAGATCAAGTAAAAAGTACATTATCAAGTAGACTTGCTTTTAAAAGCATCCGAAGGTCGATTTTAAAATGCACTACTACCTCTTTGCAAAGTGTTCAGCTCAGTATCAAATAGAACAACCTGGCTTAGGAAATCTGCACAAATCAACCTTTCATCACTGGGCGCTGGCCAAGCAGAGGATTTCATGTCCCAAGGCTCGAGAGGAAAAGCTAAAGAACCATTAGAGAAGATTAAAAAGGAAGCCCTCAAAAAGGTCAGTGCATCTTAACTTTGTCAAAGCCAAACAAAACCCTCCGGGAGAACCAAAACCAACCCCAGCCACATGGCTTTAAGAAATAAACAAAGCAAACAATAAAACCCAAAGCTACCTCTACCGGAACGCTGATTCCAGCTGTACTGTCAGGTGGTTTGTGTAGTCCCACGCTGGACCCTCACGCCGCTCCGCAGGACGTCCCAACAGGGAGGATGTTTCTGCCCCATCCCCATGCAGTCAGTGCATTCCCTCTACTGCCCTATTACTGCAATGAATCAAATTCTAGAGACGCTATCGGAGGAGAGCTGATTTACTACAGGAGATCAGACAACAAACAGTCCATGCCTGCTGTAGGTGCATGCAGCTTTTTACTTTTGCTTGAAGCATCACCAAGTTAGTAGAAATGGCTTGGCTCCGCGCCCCCTCAGCCACAACAAGGATGGTTACCCTTCCACCAAGCTTTTGTGTGAGTTAGTATCAGGAGATTTACAAACCAGGGGTAGCTCAGAGCTGTATACATCGAGGTTTAGGATTAACAAGTACAGCGTATAAGAATCACACAGGAATGACACAGATGCACGGCTGCAGCCGTGGCCACTGCACAGGCAGAGCTCAGTCACTCATGTCCATGTCCTCCTCGTGGTGATCATCCCCGTTCACTTTGGATTCCCTCGCTGCATCCCCACTTCCTTTATCAGCAGCGGACTCCTTTGCTTTAGGGGAGGAAGACTCCGACATTTTCTTGTCTTCCTTCTTCTCCTTCTCGCTGTCGTAGCCTTGTTCCTCTTCGTCATAATCCCTTGTGACCTGCTTTGCCGAGAGAAAAAAAAGGAAGAGTAAAACTTGCCTTCCAAGGCCCTGCCGGCCCACGGGCAGCGCTGCAGAGGGGCCCTGCCCCGGGCAGGCTTGGAAACATACTTTCACATCCTTGTCGCTCTCGGATTTCCGTTCTCGATCCTTCTCTTTGTCTTTGCTCTTTTTCTTCTTGCTGGTCGACCGCTCCCTCTCGTCTCTACTTTTCTCCTTGTCTTTATCCTTCTTTTTCTCCTTTTTATGTCTACAATGATAAAGTAGGGAGACGAATGAAAGGCACAACCACACCATCCACAGCTCTCACCACAGCTCATTACAAAGCTGAAGGGAGAAACAGCAGTGAGCAACTGTGATAACCGTTCACTCGCAAAATAACCCAAGAGCCCCATTTCCCAGCTCCGGAGCAAACCCGACCACCCCACTGTGCAGTCGAGGAACAGCAACACTCCAGCAGCCTCTGAAGGAGCATCTCTACTCTCTCATTTAGGGAAGAGAGGAGCACAAAATGCCCAGGCCCACCCGGAGGTCAGCCAGCCCCTACGGTACAGAGCCAAAGGGGCTGGGAACGCTGGGTACCTCCTGTCCTCCCCCTGGAATTCCTCCCGTTTGGAGTTCCCCTGCTCCAGTTCCCAGCTGAGGAATCTTCCACCCAGACACCACTTTATGTTGTAGCCAAGAGATCAACTGACCTTCTTGGAGATGGGGACCGGGACATTTTCCTTTTAGGAGACCTGGGCTTTTTAGGTGACCGTGTTCCACTCCTGCTTCTTCTGCGTCGTCTTTCTCTGCAGGAAAGAGAGATCACAGCTTTTTTCCCCTCTAAAGTACAAATACACCTCTGGCTCTAAAACCAGCACTGCTCACCAGGTAGTAAATACGAGTCACTCAGAACGGGTATTTACTGTTGGCAGCCCTGCAAAGCCCACCCTGATCAGCAGAGTAAGTCATCTCCTGTTCTACCTCCACTTCACGAACAAATCTCTATCTCAGACTGTATTAGGGACACTGGCTCTTTTTGCAACCAGAAACCAAGCAGTTTGTCCTTGTTACTATTGCAAGTCCTTTTTGGAAGTGTTTTAAAAAAAGAACAGAACACATTCTGCATGTATTTATTCCATAAATCAGGAAAGAGTTTTACAGTGACCTCAAAGAATCACACTCTGATACAGAGCAAGTAGAAACTGTTCTAAGCCCAAACAGCACCTCCAGAAAACTACAGTCAGTATCAGGGAAAAAATAAATCATCTCCTCAACGTGGGTCGAGAGCACATGTGCATTTGTGCACGCACCCAACACACCCACAGCAGAATCCTCATCCTGCTACACACAATCATGTTCTTTTGATTAAAGTGAATAAAAATGCTGGAAACAGCAAGGAAAGCTGTCGTGTCACTGTACCTGCTTGTGCTTCTTGACCGTCTGGTTGTGCTGTAGCTTTTGGGGGGAGTTTTAGAACGTTTCTTTTCTTTCTCTTCCTTCTTTTTATCCCTTTTAGTAAAATACAGATTTTAAAGTTTAAGTCATTGTCAAACTATTCAAGTAGCAGCCTCTCCTTTCGCTACGTAGGAAAACAAGTGCAGACGTGGTAACAACACGGGATGTGAACTTGGTTTAGTATTTCTGAGGCCAGTCACATTATAATGATGGCAACACAGATTACAATTACCTACAGCAAAGTAAGAGCACAGCTCTTGCAGCTTCTGTGTATGAACAGCAAAAGAATCTGCAAGCCCAGATGCTCACAGCTCCTGCTTTCCAGAGGCAGCTACTGAGGGATTCAGCTAATGCCTGCTGCATCTGTTGACTCCCAGGAAAAGCAGGTTATGTGGTTTTATGTAACTGACTGTGCACATACAGAGGTCTGATATTATTCTATAAGGCATCACATCTCTTGTAATGATGTTACGCCTTACAGACTTTAAACCATTAAAGACTATGACTTTAAATCTTGCCCTAGGGTTGGTTTTTGTGGGTGTTTTTGCTTTGCTTGTTTGGGTTTTTTTTCCTAAATTAAGCACCAAAATGTAGTAAATTCATTTCTAGCAACTAGAACAGATTTACTGAAGCAATTACCTGGTTTTGGATGTGCTCCTGGACCTCCTGCTTCTTTCTCTGGAATGAGATCTTCTTCGCCTTGGACTTTTAGACCGCCTCCTGCTTCTTGATTTTGAGTGGGATCTTCTCCTTGATCTGCTTCTTGACCGTCTACCAGGAACAGATTGTACATGGCAGTTAAATATAGGGAATGTTAATATACTATTCAGAATCCACCTGCTTGGTGCTGACAGTATTGTAAAGCTTAGTGATACACGAATAACGACACAGAATACTGGAAACAGCAAATGAGTTGCACTGAGTCCACCAAGGAAAAAGGAAGTGCATGAATGGGAAAAGGCAAAGAAGAATGATGCTTCAATCATCTCTTTCTAGCTCTCCTTGTAAAAGAAGATCTTGTTACTCTCCTTCTAAGAAAGTATCAGGCCTATTGTAGAGGGAAAACTGGTCTGTTGTGTTGAGATGTGGAGAAACTTTTAGAACACCAAACCAAATCCAAGCCAGCTACTGAACATGCAAATAGCAAAGTACAAACATGGAAGGCCATGGTTAGAATGGCTCTGCACAGACCACTGGCATGTGCTGCCTAACTGGAGGTGACAAGCCAACAGCACAAATGAGCCTTGTGTTTGGGTATTAGGACAGTGTTGAGATCTCTAGTCAGGGCACCTGAACAGCCCTGACCTCCAAGTAAATCATAACCTAGAAAACACTGGGGAAACTTCAGTCACACACTTCCACTAAGGTGAATGTGCTGCATATACTAGAAAGAAACAGCCCAGCAGGTAAGCATCTATGTACCTAAAAACCAGTGCTCAGAGAAGCCTCCTAGGACATGGTTTTAAGACAAATTATGATCACCACATGAGCACACTGGAAAGAGACTGCAGATAGAACAGAGGTTCGAAGATAACAGCTTAAGTGTTCACAGTAGTGAAGGCTGCATAAAGCCAAGGCTTTGGGCTAAGGTGTTTCTTCTCTAATACAAGCAGCAACTGACTGCTAAATAAAGTCAGTCCAAGCATTGCAGGGTGTCCTGAAGGTCCTTTTGTAGTCTCAAGTATTTCTGAGTTATTTTTTGCCATCACCTCTCTCCCACCCTTTCTACAAAACCAGAGGTAGCCCCCATGCACACTGCAATCTAGCCAGATCACAGCCTCAGCTTTCTCCACCCATCTGTCAGCCTCCAGGAGGGAAGTGTCACTTTCCAAGAAGGATTTCTGAAGGAATTCTTCCAGCCATGTGGGGTTTTTATAAAGCAAACAAGCTGACTACCTGTGTCTAGATGAAGAAGGTGTCCTCCTCCTCCTTGAGCGTGACCTCGACCTTGAGTGCCTTCGTTTTTCATCTTTTTTGTCTGGAGTTAAAAAGCAAAAGCAGAGTAAAAACCACAGTGATGTTTTTCAAAGAGGTTTTATAAAAGAAGAGGTTGAGCTTCATGTTGGAAACAAGATAAAGAAAACATAAAGGAGTATTTTGAAAGTAAGGCTTATCTATCCTTTTCCTCAGGAGACGACACAAAGGATTCACACATGACAAAAACGTGCGACTTAAAACCAACATAAAGTTTTCTGCAAAACCGAATAAGCCAAAATTCAGAAGATGTTTAATTTAAGTCAGTGAGAAGAGAAGAGCTGCAGGGCAACGAAAAGCCATGGTAAAATCTCTGAATCTGCCACTTTGTGAAGGGCTGAAGAATCTCTCAAATTACTGTTCTGAGCTTCCCACAAAGAGCCTCAAACAAGGCAAACAGAGGTTCTTCTGGTGTAACAGAAGAACAGGAGCTCTGTTCTTTCCTGAATTCATCAGGATGCTGAAAAGCTGTATTTTCAGTGTTTCAAGTTCCTGCTTCTCAGATTTGGTGGCTCTGACGTTTGCAGATGAACTTCTGCACCTTCTTCTAAAAGAAAATCCATTGAAATAAGCTACAAAAAGAATCATTTACAAACTTCCGCAGATCAGGAATTAAAGGAAACCATCCCCAAGCACAAGCATCACCAGGATGCCAAGTGGATAAAGCCACTTGCTGTTTCCAATGGAGTGCCAGAGCCGGCACTAGGAACTTCCACCAGGGGAAGCTCAAGCATTTTGCCATCTTCAAATGAAAGGAATTCGGGGAAAACCCAAGAGACTATTAATTCCCTGCAACATTCTGCAGGACACATGCAGCATTCACACTGTGGGGCAATAAAATCCTGTCAACCATACACTGAGTCCCTGCAGAACACGAAAGCCTTGAGCCAGTATTTTGCAGACCATGAGTTTTGATCATATAGTACATCAAAACTCCCTCTTGAATTAAATGAGGTATTTAAAATTACCTGGCTCAATAGCAGCAGAAATTAATGACTGTGCTTCTCGTACTCTTTTCATAGCTTCTTCTATTTCTTTACTGGAGGTATCTGATTTCAGACTTGGGGAAACAAGACCTGCAGCTACATGGTTCAACCTGGGGAATAAAAAAGGCATTTTAGTAATTCAGTGTTAATGAATCCAAGAAATAAAGCCTGCAGCCTATTCAAAGTGACTGATCTAAGTGAATCAGTACCTGCCCACACTTTGTCACCACTTAGGTAAGAGGGTAATAAGTCTAATATGTGGTATCTGTGCTGACAACAGCAGCACAAGATACCAGCACCTACAGCTCTTAGAATTCCAGTCAACTGCAAAGAGCAGGAAGCTGTGTGTTGGCTTGCACAGGTACGTTCCTAATGACACCTGTCAGAACACTTGTACAACACAACTTCAATTCTGAACACTCCATGGGTAACAGTGCATAACCCAGCAGAAAGTCAGCTTCATTTTGATAAGCCACACTGAGAAACCTACAGACAGTGATGAGATCCGAAGTTCAGAAGATGTGTTCTACAAAGGTGGCTTTGAAACCAAGCAGGTAAACATCACCCAGGTTTACCGGGTATAAATAATCCATTATCTTGGGTAACTATTTTGCTCGATCAGTTATGCATTCCCTGCTTACAGAAATGTCAATTTTAAATAGGGAATAATGCCAGAACAGTATTAAAACTGAAGACAGATCACATACGTAGATTTATCCACTGGTGCAGATGAGATGACAATTTAAAAACACTGAACAAACAGGATTAGAAGTTGTCTGTTTAGGCAATAGAGCAGCAGGGCAAGCACACGCTGATACACCTTCCTGAAGCTGAGAGTTGAAAGAATTCTCTCCAAAGCTCCCTGCAATTCGCGGTTCAGGGGCTTTCTGAGGCAGATGTGGTTTCTTTGCTTTTAGAACATTTCTCATCTACTCATTTGTCTAACAGCTTTTTTCTCTGGCATTTTAATTGGTATTATTCCAGGGATGCAAGGCTGAATCATCTTCATTTCCTCCCCCTCTTCTCTCTACCACAGAGAAGAGTCTGCACAAGATCCCCAAATCACAAGTTTTCTCCAACCTTAATTAGATCCAACAGGACAAAGACTCAATCACAACAGGCACTCCCAACATGCAGTGTATTGCAACACAAAGATTTGTAAACACTGATGCTTACTTTGGATCCACTGTGCTCATAAGTTTTAGTAGCTGATCTGCTGCAAGAGACTGTGAGGGGAAACAAAAACAACAGTTAAAACTGTGAAGATGTCTATGCTTAAGAGGATGATCTTCCCTGAACATACCCTCAGCAGTGGCTACAGCAAAAAGTCTCTAGAGGTGAAAATAAACACCCCTCAAACAAATTACAGATGAAGAGACACCCTGTTCTGTTTAAAAACTTGTGGGTGGTGGTGAGGGGGTGAACAGCACGTTGCAGTGGTGCTCAGGTACTTCTGGTTTTCACCACAGCAGCCAAACACACGCTCTGTCCTGGACAGAATCAAAGCACTTGAAAATAAAAATACACTTCTGGTATTTACAGGCTGTTTCTCTGTTACTTTGAGGGAATAGAGACCTCATCGGATGTCCTGGGTTCAGCTCCAGCAGTCATGTTTTCTCCTTCTCAGTAGCTGGTGCAGTGCTGTGTTTTTGACTTCCAGTCTGGGAACAACGCTGATAACACCGATGGTTTTAGTTGTTGCTCAGTAATGTTTACTCTGACCAAGGACTTTCTCAGTCTCATGCTCTGCCAGGGAGGAGGGGAAGCCAGGAGGAAGCAGAGGCAGGACACCTGACCCAAACTGCCCAAAGGGCTATTCCACACCACAGCACGTCATGCCCAGTATAGAAACTGGGGGGAGTTACCCGGAAGGCCCAGGTCGCTGCTCGGGTCGGGCTGGGTATCGGTCGGCGGGTGGTGAGCGGTTGTGTCCTTTTCCCTTGTTATTCCTCTTATCATTATTATTGGTAGCAGTAGTGGTTTGTGTTATACCTTAGTTACTGGAGTGCTGTTATCCCAACCCGTGGGGGTTACATTCCTCCGATTCTCCTCCCCATCCCTCCGGGAGCGGGGGGAGGAAGGAAGAGGAGGGCAGTGAGCAAGCGGCTGCGTGGTTCCAAGTTGCCGGCTGGGCTTAAACCACGACATCGGAGAACTAAGCTGCCTGTCCATGGGAAGTCCTCAGTGTCAATTTATGGACAATAAGCAAAAGCTTCTTTACTCTAAAAATTCTGTGACGATTGGTCACTTCCTGTACCACTGGTGTAGCAACAGCATGTTCAGCCCTCACTAATTTCTTCATACAGAGGCTGCCTTGCGTTGAACCCAAACACTCAGTTACTTCCAGCTGCTTAATGGACAAGGGAAACAACCCTCCCTCATACCACAGTTGTAGTTTCCTGATAGGCATTTAGAATGCTTGGTTTTCCATTTTTTGTTTCATTATCACCATTATTTGCTTGTTGCCATGCATGGCATGCGTAAAGACAATGCTAAATGATGGATTTCTTAGCAATGCATTGAATTATTACTACTGCTTGTACCTGTAAAACATGTTTGCTCTCTGTACACTATTTGCTTCTTCTTAAGTATTAACCCAATATAAATCACTATTACTTAGTACTTAAAGTTTTCTTCTATGAGACTTCTGTCTAACAAAGTCTCCTCAGTATTTTCTACACCTACAACATTAAAAAGTCAAACAACTTTTTTTACTGTAAATAGTTTCAGAGCTTTATAATGACAGACATTTGAAATATTTCATTACTAGTCCCAGATTATTGTTTAGGTCCCTCTGGCATTTAATTTGATACTCCTACAGACACCATTTATTCCAAACAACAAAAAAACCCCTATTACTGGATTTTTCAGACAGTAGCTGTTAAACTGATATAAATGAAAATTACTTTTACAACCGAAGAAGGCAGCAAAAGAGAAGTGTTCATACACAAACCTGCCATGTCAAGAAACAGACTGCATTCTGTAACAGTTCTAGGGAGTTTAAAGAACCAGCAGCCTGTGCGGACTACATTCGGTCAAGCCTTTCATAAAAAGTAGTATTTTGTAGCACCTCTTCAAACCTAAGTATAGTATTTCCAGATCTTCAGCTTGTTATTTAATATACTGGTGAACACTAAGGGCATCATGTATGATAGTTGAACTATGTATGTGCCAGAGACAATAAAGAAAATGTAAAGAGTGTGTGACATACCTGAGAGTTTAAGTTTGCTCCAGGAAGCCCAAGAGCAGCTAGGGCAGGATCAAGAGCAGGAGCTCCTAAAGCAGCTAAAGGAACAGCACCAATCTGTAACAAAACCAGCAATTAGACAAAGCCATATTCAACTGATATAAAGCTGTTGGATCAAGATTCCCAAGCGTTAGGTATGTGAAAATGTGAACTGGGTTTTACTTGGGCTTCCAGCTACATGAAACGTTATAATAAGGTCAGCCAGAGTATTTCAGTTTTCCCTATTCAGATATTCCAAAGCCCAGTATAGGAAAAGTATTTTTTCCTATAAGTATTCTAAAATGGAATTCTGTTTCCTCTGCATCCCAGAGGTTGAGTCAGGGGAAGTAAAGAAGCAAAACATTCCAGTACCGCCAGGAAATGGTTTAAAATGAAGTTGTTTTCCAGTGCTAAAATGAAAATTCAATACAAGTTACTGAGCCAACAACCACGTATTTAAATCAACTTAGGACTGAAATGAACATGTTTTATATCAAAAGACAATATAATATTATTACATGTCTGCAAATTTCTCTAGTTTGGTTAAAGCTAGCAAATGGGTTGAAAAGCTACTGGAACAGTAAGTAGGATGATGGCTTAGGTCTGAATTCCTTAAATTCATCTAGAAGTCTCATAAAGAACCTCACTTTTGGCCATTTGAAGTGAGATGATCAAAACATACACTGAAATAAAGCCGAGGTGATGTCATGTTAACCAGCGCTGTGCTGTCACTGTGAGGGCTTGCTCTCCCTCCCTTCTATCCTCCTCACTGCCTCCTTCCTGACAGCTCTGGCACTTGAGACTCGTTTGTCAACCATTCAACCCACCGAGAGAGCCAGAGAACATACTTTTGTGGCTGCATCCTACTAACACTATAGTTCCCTAAAGGATCTGACAAGCTCCAGAGCCAGTGTAAAAGCAGCAGCAAGAGCATGGAGTCAGGAGCAAGGTAGCAGAACCTTCCCCTTCCTGACAGGGACATTTCCAGTTAGCTGATCACTTGAACTGTGCAGGCTTCTCCCTGCAGGCTCAGAAGAAAATCCATGTTCCCACACATTGACCTTGTGAACATACACTAAAGCTCTAACTTGTTTTTACTGAGTTAGATGTCCAGCTCCCAGTAACAGTCAAGAAGAGCTGCACAACCAGCTTTCAAGATGTGTGTGAGAAAAATTACCATCCACCACAATTTTCCTTAAAATGGATGTGTCAAATTCTACCATTAAGTGGATTGGGAGTAAGTAGGTTGGGATTCAGGTGACAGAACTAAAATTAAGGTGCTTTAACAACCATTTTCAGGAATTTATACACAGACAGGTTTTGATGAAACCCATCTTTAAAATGGTGTTTGTTTCTTCCATCCCTTTCCTCGAGTTTCAAAGTTAAACTTTAGGCTTTTCCCTTCACATATGGTTTAAGAGACCTTCTGAACAACTCTATGGCAACTGTATCTTCCATGCACTCAGAAATCCTAACAGAAGCTACACAAAGAAGAGCTAAGCACAGGCTGAAGTAGATTTGGGAACTGTAGAACTAATGAAGCTTTATTCTTATTAATTCTTGTACTTTGATTTTCTGTCTCTAATAAGATACATGCTTTGACTGAAACTATTTCCACAATATATTATTCTTAATGTTCATCTTCCACATGAATTCTTGCATATTTAGATAATAAGCAAATACAATTTTTCCCCTCAGCTGGAGTATTAAAGGCATCTTCACAGCATGTGAACCCCTTGAATTTCACAGATTTAAAGTCTACAAGATCTCTACTGCTTGTCAAATCTATCTGTAAGCACAGAATGGATAAAGAAAGGATGAGAAAGAGGTACAAACACAGGGACCCTGAGAAACCAGAGGTATCATATTAGGGAAAAAAAAGTATCCCATCTACCAACTATCATAGTTCAGCCACAACTCACATCAGAAAGCTTAATAAGCCATTAAGGCACATAAACTAAAACATTATAGGAATTGGCACTAGCACATAGAATTAACTACACCAGTCTGTTTGTCCTGAGAAAAACACCCAACAGAAGCAAGTTAGGATCAACCAGGATACATCTGAATGTTCTCCTCAGCTTCAACCTAACGGGAAAGGGGAAGCTTACCTGAGAAAGTGGGTTGGGAGTAGGCAGGAGTCCACCTCCGGGCAGCAGACCTGCCACAGCATTAGCTGGTGCCAAGAGAGACAAAGCCTTAGTCTCATCAGGAATAACTCCTGCAGAGAAACAGCCTTGCATTAGAGTGCATTCCATTTCAAAGGCAGAAAATACACAAAAACACCCAGAAAATGTCTCCCTGATACACCACCTGAGTTTGTTGAAAGTACTTATGTTGGCTAAAATACAAAGCTCGTTGTCTATTAATATTTATCATTAATTTTTTTTTGTCAGAATGCAACTTCAATGTGTGAAAATTTGACTGTTCCTTTTTCTCTACAAATGGTTAAGTTTCTAGAGCAAAAAAATAGCACAATACACACTACTTTTTTGTTAACACTGCCAAGATTTCATCACCTGTACTCGATTTTTAAGTCATGAACCAAACGTAAGCAAGCACAGTCGGTTCTCCAGGGGTGTGCTCTCAACTTTCAAAAGCTGTTTTATGAACAACGACTCGTGTCGGCTGCTTCACTATAAAGCACACAGAAAAATCAAGATACACAAGACAAAAAAAGTTTGATTTAGGGGTTAATAATATGGTACAGTTCACTAAGTTTTCTTTTACACCTACCATATAAATTTTGTAAAACTTAAAAGAGAAGGTATGGAACTATTTTTGGTTGAATCAAGCGTAGGGCTTTTGCTGACTTGTCAAATGAAAATGAAAGTCTCTGCAGATCTTCAAATACACGCTCTGTGTGTGTGTCTGAGGGTGGATGGGTGCATACATACAGGATATCGTGGCACATTCCTTACCTGTGCAGTAAAATGCATTTGTTCCAGTATGTGCCATGCTTATTGTACCAAGAATGCTGCTACATACTGCCATTTCAGAAGAAACTTCTGGCCCAAAATCTTGCAGCCAACTAAGACAAGTGTCTTATTTTACTGCCTGCTCTGCACATATATATAATTTTAAGGGTCCTAGTACGAAATAAGTAATTATGTAGGTGTTTTTTATTCTATCCAACAGCAAAAGCCCTATACAGATGGATTAATTTGTTAATGTGCCCAAGCCCCCAAAATGAGAGTTCAATAAAACAATTTTACTATATATTTGCAAATACCAGTAGTGTTTCTGTAATACATATTAAGAAACTGCATCTCATCATAAAACATACAATATGTACAGGGCACTTAAGAGAAACTGGATAAGCTGCAGAAGAAAACTGTTGGGTGGTATTTTCAGCAGGGCCTGGTATATAGTTCAGGCTGAACCAGGGAAAAGAACTGTAAAACACAACAACAAAAAAGAAAAACCACTGTTAAATAAAGGTAATGGTTCCTTCCACCTATACTGAGAAGTGCCGATAATATAAACAAATGTATAATACACAGCACTGTTATCTTGCTTGTGTCATTGAGCTGTCATCAATTTAGATACCCAAAGTTATGGAGGGAGAGGGGGGGAAAAAGGTCATTTAGATAAAGGGCATTAATGCATCAATATATTAACATACCTACAGAGAGATTATGGGGGAATTTTGCATGCAAAATTATGGCTCAGAGGATATTTATAAATTATAGCTAAACATTTCAAATTAGTGCAACTACAACATTTCTGGCATCTAAATATATAAAACCTCAGACTTATCTCGAGACACCTCATAGAAGATCTGCATCCATTAAAAAAATCATGCATATGATCCTCTGGTTTGTTTTTTGTTTTGTTTTGGTTTTTTTAAAGTATTTAGAAACAAATAAACTACAATTTAAAAAAAAAAAAAGCAATGAGGCCCCTCACCAGTTAATTTTCATGCTTCAAGAGCTTTTTATACTGCTGCTTTGTTAGAACCATGAAATACTGCATGAATGTGTAGAAATGAAAGAAAAAGAAACAGACAAAAGAAACAAACATTAACCAAAGAACCTAAATATCCCCCCCAGCCACCTTTAATCTTAAAGAGTTCCTTCCAAATGTAGGAATAGCACAGTGAAAATGACAAATACTAAACCTTACCGTAGACTTTGTGTATAGTTCTATAACACAAAGCAACAGCCAACACCAAACTGTCTGTGTATGCTAAAACTGGAGTGCGCTTGTGGTATAGGGGATAATTATTGCGCTAAACAGATAATAAACATTTACTTTAGTGACAGGCAATATTCATACAGAATTATCACAACAGAAAATAGAAGATCAAAGGGCCTAGTTCAGCACAGTAGTTAAGCATATGCCTGGCTTTAAGCACATGAGCAATTTCACCGTGGTGTTAAGGATCTTGCTGTATCGTGCTTAAGTAGCTTGTTGAACTGGGACTCTGGCAGGGAAAACTATACTCCAGTACAGGGACAGGAGCATATGGTTACAAAACCAGGGGGTATAACTTTATTGGCTGAGTGTATCTCTTGTGATACACCACATCATTCTGCACCACTAGAGCACCAGAGGAAACAGCCCATGAGGAGCTCCTGGATTTAAACAGGCCCGTTCAGATATTCTACTTTGTTCATTATTTTATTTTCTTTACATAATCTGAACCAAAATTACTGGGCAGATTTCTCTATGTGCCAGATTTATCCGCCATCGAGTACAATGGACAAAGTCAGACTGACAAAGGAAAGTGGTTTTATCCTTTTGGTCAAGTTAAAACACTAACGATCTGCACCACGGGCCTTGGTGATCGTATCAGGTCTGACTCAGATGGACTGTTACTATATCATGTTTTAATACAAAGATGAGGACAAGATGCCTTTCAACTATGTTATTACACCTAAACTAGCAAAAGCAGAAGCAGTAATTCAATGGTAATTTCTATGCTCTCAAAAAGCAGCATGTCTCAACCAAAGGTCATGCTGCAGAGTTCTACATTCCACAAATTAAGTTTCCATAGCATTTAAGTTTAAGGAATACAATGATAAAACAGCTCCCCAGGCCTCTAAAGACAGCCTACAGCATTACAATGTCTTGAGTATAGGTCTGAACCCAGGCCACGTACCAGATTTGTTACTGTAGTACAACTTAATCTACAGAGATTTTATTTAACTCAAGCGATCAGGGAAAATCCATTAATTCAGAAGTAAATCAAGAAACAGTACAATGGAAATCAGTTACTTCTAAAGCAAGTCTAGAAGAGTTTAATAAGACTTCTGCAAGAAGAGGTGTCTTCTCAGCACTTTGTTTTTAAGGTAAGTTCCAAAAACCCTGCTCATTGCCTTTCAAATTACTGTAACACCCTAAAACGTAAAAATAAAAAGAAGAAGAGAAAATGTAGTTAACAAGTGGTTACACCAGGAAAACACTTGGGGACTTGAGTGCTTGCTGGCCTTTAGTTAATGTCTAGAATCCCCTGTAGCTGCAGAGGACCCACTGTTTTTCAGTCATCTGGAAGGGCTTTGCATTTGCCTTCTCCACTACAAAAATCACACACACAAATAACAGAGAGAAGAGTTTATTATTTAGTGAAATTCTATAAAATATATCAAGGATGAACAAGAAAACTTGGAATAAAAAACTAGTCCCAGTGCCCATTTGGCACCTCTTGGAGATCTAATTTCAAATTAAACCATAATTATTCAAACCCTTGGTATACTGGACTTCACAAGGAGAGTGAGTGACTTTCAGGGAAGTTCCCAAATAAATGCAATGGCAGAGTATCTCGGAGAAATATTACTCTACTCTCCCATGCACTCTCATGGAGGGAGAAACCATTCTCATGAAGAGATTTACATCTATGTGAAAGTGGCAAATAATTATTCAGGCAAAATTTCCTTATAACACGGACCTGTTTGCATAAGTCTGTTTAGGAAAATGTCCCATTGAGACTGATAAAGAGTAAATTTTGCAAGTAATTCTGCCTAAAACGTTCATGTTCTAAACTTAAAGACACACGAAACCAGTTAAGAGTTAAACTTCCCACTTTCAGTATCACTAGATTAAAACAACTATTTAATCCATGGGCCAATGGCAATATACCAAGGGTTTCAAAACATTAATTATCTTTGATGTTTGACATTTTACTAATCCTCATTTTTGTGAACTATACTGGAATAAAATGCCCCCATACAGGGGCTTCATAGGCCATTAAACAATTCACAAACCTTCTGCATATGGTACGACTATCAAGGCTCTGTCAACGAATACAGTGTTTGTCAGGTGCTGCGCCACCACTGCCGAGTCGGGGTCATGGAACTTTACAAAACACACACGTGATGACACAGGCAAAGGAGAATCACTGCAAGAGAAGAAATCAGTTACTCAGGTGGAAGCAAATCTGACAGTAGGAAGCTTGTAGCCTCTATTGTCTCCCCACTTTGACCAAACCAGGAAGCCACAGGGGACCATGGGGCACTTCTCTATGCAAGAACATGACTTCAGGTTTTGTACCAAACATCATTTTGATTGACCAGGTATGAAATGACACTGCATGAAGCCAAGTCACTACAACACTGCAGAAACGTTTTTACTTCCTCATTTATAACTGGACATTAATTCTGTTGTGCACAATGTATCTGTGACCAGTCACCTAAGTGCAAATCAATTTTCATGACCTGTCTGTGAGAAGGGAAGGACACAAAGGAAACCCTTGCTCAAGAAAGGTAAAACAACTTATACTATCTATACCACTTAAGATAACAAAACCAGTGGGTTTACACTCTCTGCTTTAAGCCCCAAATTACTCATTAAGGTAAATGAAGCAAAGAGGGTAATGATTTAAAGACTGCTATGATTTTACTTATCACCATATTTTCATAAAAGCTCCTAGACCAAACTCCATCATGCTGCTTCTCACACAAGAGAAACTGCCAAGTTCATTTGAAGGGATATAGCACACGTCTATCATTCAGCAGTAACAGAACCACACAGAAAGAAGTTCAAGAAGCTCCGTAAACAGAGACCTTTACAAGAAAGGTCTGTGCCTACTCCACAGCTCAAAACAAGTGTCTGTCAGCAGAGCTGTGTAAGACATCCCAGACATGGAAAATCCAAAAGAGAACACAAAGGTTCTGAGTCACTTGAAAAAAAACCAACCAAACAACAGAAACATCTACTTCCTACAATAGGAGAGAATTGTAGGACACACAACTGTGACCCTCCCTTCCCTGAAAGCAAACCAAACCCGCCAAACCAGAGGCAGAATCAACCTGGCAAAGGTTCAGAATGCACCTTCAGAAGTCCATATATTCTGCAAATGGTGCAAATTTTGCTTTAATCAGGCATATAACCTAGAGGACAGCAAGACAAATTGTTACACAGACACAACTGTGCAGCAGAGGAGTTAAAAGCTGCCTCCAGAAGGTGCAGGACAGGCACTGAAAGTTGTAGCAAGTCCTAAGACCTTAGTTCACAAAGCGGCCCAGGATACATGTGCTGTTCAGTGCTGCCCTCAGGCACCAGAGGAACAAATTAGCCTAAACAGGTAGCTCTGAAAAACAGTCACTAATTCTTCATGACAAAGACCTCCCTTTAGTAACTGGATTCCCAGAAGCAGTTACAAGACTAGCTCTTCAAACTGCAGCCCATTGCCAAAACAATGTTATCTGGGCTGATCGAGCCTCTGTGACTGAAAGCACTGAGAGAGTTGTCAGAATTCAGGAGAAAGGAGAATGACTTCGACATCAACAAGAAAGACATCCAAGATCTATTTTTGTTAGTGCAAATGCCGAAACCTCTCTAACCTTCACCACCATAGGCTCAGCCCAACGTGCAAGTTACGCAACCTCAAGACCTGCCCTCAACGTCTACCAGATCACTTTAACGTACTTTAAATTTAACCAGATGAGGAAAACTAGACTGGAGCCGGTGTATGGCTGCTTTTAAAATCTTAAAATTAGAAACATCCATCTTGTCCAACATCTTACAGAGTTAATAAACTGGAAAGTAACATTGTAGTGATAAATGGCACAGAGAGAGACAAATGGAAACTATTAGCTCTTCTGTATCCACAAATACACAGCAGCTTGCCAAAATGGTGCCTCTTCTTAACCATCTGCATAAAACCCAAAGGAGCATTAGCAGCGTTTAACAGAACCACAGTAGTAAAATTTGAAAGCAAAGTAAATCAAGGAGTTATGGTATATCTGAATCATATATTAACCTAAGCTCTAAACCTCCAATTTATTACATAAATGCAGTACAATATTTTCAACATTCTTAAAATGTCTGTTATATAGAGTACATGCTGTTTATAGACAGGAGTACCACCAGGTATGAACCTCTACAGCCAGCTGAACATACAAACCCAACCGAACACACACAAGGCTATGCTTATGCAGCCTGACATTTAATATAAATCACTGCATTTCATTTTTATAAATGTATTTCCAGTCACTCCAAAATCCAAGCTGTGGCTGAGTGAAATTCAGCAGAACAGAATGTTCTCAGCAGTTACCAAAAAAAGGCCATCATTATTCTAATTCACCAGAGAGTAAAAATTCAGTAATTCTCTCTAAGGTATCATGTCTCTAAATGCTGAGACACACAGCAATTTACTGTGGTTGGAGTCTGAACAAGGTACCAAGCCTGAGGTACAGGAGATGCTGAAACACAGCAGACAAACAGGAAAGCTAAAACTTCATCCCATAATCTCTAACTACTCATTCCACCAAACTTCTCTCATATTGTAACCAGCTCCTTAAATCTCAGGGGGTGGGGAGTTAAAGGATATTTCAGCCAATACATAAACATTATTACTGATGCAAGGTTAGGCTAGAATCAGGCTGGAGTGAATAGATTGTCCATGCAAGAGACATTCTTCTGTATTACCATGTTCACTGGATAGGAAGAAACAACACAGAAACCCAAAAGACTCCCATGTACTTCACTTGGCAACAGAAGTTGTCACCCTTTTCTCAGCAGACCAACTACATGTGGCAATTACAAGTAATGCCACTATTCTGAGAAGAGTCCTTGCGTAACTTCCATCAGCAGTTTTACCCAAGGCAAAAGATCTTGCTAAGTAGTGTTCAAAGCCAGGCTGGACGGGGCTTGGAACAACCTAGTCTAGTGGACTGAGTGGGATGGGAGGAGTATGGAAAGAATGGAAACCCCACAGGTTGAGATAAGAACAGTCCAATAACTCAAGTATAATGCAAAACTACTACTGCTACTAAGGGAAATAACAAGGGGAGAGAATATAAACCTAAAAAAGGAAGGGAAAAAAAACCTAACAATAACCAGCAGTGATGCCCAATACAATTGCTCACCACCCACCAGCTGATCCTCAGCCTGACCTGAGCAGCGATCGGTCCCTTCCAGGTAACTCCCTCAGTTTCCATACCGGGCATGACGTGCTGTGAGATGAAATACCCCTTTGGCCAGTCTGGGTCAGGTGTCCTGGCTCTGCTCCCTCCCGGCTTCCCATGCCCCTCCTCACTGGCAGAGCAGGAGACTGAAAAGTCCTTGGTCAGGGTAAGTGCTACTGAGCAGCAACTAAAACACTGGTGTGTTATCAGCATTGCTCCCAGACTAACGCCCAAACACAGCCCTGCACCAGCTAGCAGGAAGGAGAAAAATAGCTGTTAGAGCTGAAACCAGGGCAATATGCTAAACAGAAAACAGTTTATGTATATATGTGTGTGTATACATACACTGCTGTAAGAGGAAAAGAACCCACACCCTCAGAAATCCATTCCTTCCTCTCTTCCGTTCCACCCACCAAGGAGGATGGATGAGCCATATGGAATACAATAAAGACAGGAACCAGGTAACTGAGTCAGGGAAAAGCAGAAGATGGAGGGAAGAAAGGGCCTGAGGAAGAAAAATGGAAGAAGTCACAGAGCTGGTTGTTGATTAAATGTGTGATAGGAAGCTGAGGTGTACATGAAGTATGTAAGACTGATTAAATAAACTGGGATAAAGAGATG